AGGACATTCTCTTGCTGGAATGCAAAAATAGACACGTTCCCCTTAAAGACTCAGTGGCCTGCTGGAGGCTACGGAACGGGACATGGCGTTGGAGGTCTGGGCTCAGCTCCCAGGGGCAGATCGCCATCTGTTCCTCTCATTTTAACAAACATGAACTAGCCCTCGGCAGACCCTGTGCCATGTGCTGGGGTCTCTGGACAAACAGAAAGGGTCCCTTGCAGCTGGGAGGAGTGATGAGTAACTGAACCAGCAATTCCTAGAAAGCATGACAAGTGCTGAGTGGGCTGGACATCTGTGCAAAGAGCCTCGGGAGCCCAGAACCGGGGACCTGGCTTGTGGCCCTGGGTACGTCATGTCCCTTCACTGGCCTCCATTCCCTGAGCCAGAGAAGCATTCTCATCCTGCAGGTGCCTTCCTAGCCCGGGCTACTGCTCAATAAATAGCCACCGCCTCTCCCGTTGTGCATGGCAGTTCTCGGACTTACAGAACACAGCCTGCTGCACGGTGTAGCCCGCCTCCTTGCCCTGTGCGTATGCTCTGAGACTTCCTTGGCCTCTTCATCTCCGCAGTGCGGAGAACCCTCAGCATCCTAGCTCAAGGCGTGATAGCACGTGGACATCTTCACCAAGTCCCCTTTGCCTCTGGTCACTGGGTTCCAGGCGGTATCCCCTTTGGCCTGAGTGAGTCAGGCAAACCTCAGCCCTTTCTCGAACCCACGGGAAGTCCAATCACAGCAAACCATTTTGCTGTATTCTGAGGACTGTATGGGAGATCCAGAAGTCACACACAGAGCAGTCACCTTGGGCTCCATCCAGCCGTCTTCCATCTTGATCACCCATCCTCTCCTGATCCATCCCAACAACACAGGGAATCCACTTTCCTCCTCCTCCGAGGCCTGAGCACCACTGAGCCCCCGGCCCTGGGAATGCAGCTTCTATTCCCCTCCACGCAAGGCCCGTCCATCTAAGAGGGATGCCCACTGTCAGGCAGAGGCAATTCCCTTCGCTCTCTCTTCAGTTCATTTTATACTCATTAACAGCCCTCTGAGATTAGCGCAATAATTTTTCCTTTATAGATGAGGGAGTGGAGGCTAAGTGCTGAAGTGCCCTTGCCCAAGGTCATGCAGCTCATGAGCGCCAGAGTCTGGCTTCAGGCCATGCTCTGTCTGGCTCCGCCGTCCCTGTGTGTCTGAGGACAGTCAGTCACAGGTGCTGCGGAGGGAACAATGACTTTTCCTGTGCCCTGGCCTCCAGCTCTGGGAGGAAGTCTCTGTGCTCAATGACAGGCGTACAGCATCTCTTGCCCTCTTTGAAAAGGTGCCCCTGCCTGCTCCTTCCTTTCGGAGAAGCAGAGAGGTGTTTGCGTGCACACCTGCACAGGTGAGCGATGGGGAGAATGCTGTAGTAGCCAGAGAGCAGATGAGAGGACAGGGCAGTGGTCTTTGCCCCCTGCGGCGACCCCAGGCTCCTGAAGCTCAGGCCACTCCTGCCTGATGGTTCTGGGCTTTCTCACAGTGTCCTCCGCAGGCCTTCCCCGGTCCTGATGGCTGTGACATGCCCCTTGTTTGTATCTTTCCCCTGGTTCCAATCCCTCAGGGTGTCACGGTGCAGATCAGACACAGAAACACAGGACCCTCGTGAACTTCAAATTTTACCGTGTGGCTCTGAGCACCCATTTCAGCTCATAGACCTTTGCTGTCCTCTAGGGCAGTGGTTCTCAACCTTCCTAATGCCACGACCCTTTAATACAGTTCCTCATGTTGTGGTGAGCCCCAATTTCATTGTTACAAATTGAACATAACTAAAGCATAGTGATTAATCACAAAAACAATATGTAATTATATATGTGTTTTCCAATGGTCTTAGGCGACCCCTGTGAAAGGGTCATTTGACCCCCAAAGGGGTCGCGATCCACAGGTTGAGAACCGCTGCTCTAGGCTGAGGCAAGGACCAGGCTGCCCTCACTGGTCATGGTGAGACTTACAAAACAGGGCATCCATTTGACTGGCAGTTGCTGAGGTCCCCTCTTTGGGTCTCAGGCTGGGCATGGCTGGAGGGGGAGCAGAGATCATCTGCTCTCAGGAACTTACCTTCCACTGGGCAGAGGCAGTTTCTAAAAATCTGTCACAGTGCAGCCCTGGCTGGGTGGTTGAGTTGGTTGGAGTGTCATCCCAAACAACAAAAAGTTGCAGGCTGGATTCCTGTTCAGGGTACATACCTATGTTGTGGGTTCCCCTGTCAGGGTACATATGGAAGGCAACCGATCAATGTTTCTCTCTCACATTGATGTTTCTCTCTCTCACTCTTCACCTTCCTCTCTCTTGAAAAGCAATAAAAACATATCCTTGGGTGAAGATTAAACACACACACACACACACACACACAAACCTGTCACAGTGTAAAATGATTAACATATAAGGAACAGTTAACAATATGAGAAAGCATAGCCAGACATTCTGCTCAGAGTGCAAGAGGGAAAGCCTTCACAGCAGAAGCAAGCGAAGGGGTTGAAACACCAGGGGGAGGAGACAGGCAGCCAGCAGAGCAGAGCAGAGGAGAGAGGGGGGAGGGGCTGGATGCCCTTCCCCAGGTGCAGGCGCAGAGCCTGCCCACCCCCTTCCCAGGCCCCTCTGTCAGGCACGTCTTCTTACTTTGCACACTAGGTGTGGAGACAGACAGACACAAGTTCAAAACCCAGTCTGCCATTTGCTAGTCTCGCTACTCTATACAAGTTCCTGGACCTTTCTGGGACTCAGTTTATTCATCTGTAGATGGGCTGGCAGTCCCTATCCTATGGTGTCACATGATGATGCAGATGACAGAACTCAGCACTGGGGCTGCTGGCCATCAGAGGTGTCTGTCTGTTTTGTTTGTGCTTTCAGCGAGTATTGGAGATCCTATAATTATATGTAACATTATATGGTATATCTTAAGATATCTGACAAAATGGGGTGTCAATTTTGGACTTCAATGGGGCTTAAATGTTCCTGTTATCAGTCACTAATGAGATGGAGAGAGAGCCTGAGGGCACTCACCCCCTCAGGGCCGGGCATTGGCTTTGAAAACCCACCCTGAGGAGGAGTGTTCCATGGGCTCTGAGCAGGGATGGCAGCCTCCCTGCCAGGGCCGTTTTGGCCTCTGGACAAACAGAAAGGCTCCAGCTGGGTGAGCTGGTGGGGATGCTCGAGGGCTCCAGCAAGCAGCCTCTCGCTGTCCTGTGCTTGCACATGGTCCCCGTGCCAGCGTGAGCTGTTAAGCCAAGCAGCAGCAGCAGCCGCCGCACCGGATCATAACCCCCACCCCCCACCCCCCAGCTATGGGGACCGTACTTCCCACCTTCCGTTCCACATGGGCTCAGCACAGCGGACCTTCAGCAACAGCTTGTTCAATGTCACAGTTTCAAAGTTGCCCGCTTGCTTTTGGGAGGCTGGCTCTCCTTTACACAAAGGACCCGTGAGCATGGATAACTGGGCTGTGAGAGTGACCGTGAACTCCTCCGTTGAGCTGGGACCAGGCTGCCCACTGTCCCCAGCAGTGCGCGAGCAGGTCTGCCCTGGCTTGCCAGGCTGCTGACACGTCTGGGTATCCTTCTCAAACGAGGAGTGCTTTGAAGTGGTTTTGGCAAGGCTCTGGCACAAGTCGCAGACATTTCAGGACAGATCAGGAAACTCAGGGGCATCAAGACCCCTCTTTCCCTTCCTATGGCTGCGTCGGTGCAGAGGCAACCTTAGCCTATGCTGTGAGGGGACCAGAGAGATGCTAGAATCCATCATTTTGCATAAGGATGCTACCCTGCACTGTCACTTATAAGACATTCAGAATAGATGCAGCATATGAAACATTATTGTTATTTTTATTACTACTCCTATTACAGCTTAAGAAAAACTGTCATGTACGGAGTGTGTATTAAGTTCCAGGTGCAATTCTAAATGTTTTGCAAGCAGCATCTCACTTGTCGCCCCCCTTTCCTCTGAATGAAGGTGGCTATTATTATCACCATTTTAGAAATAAAAAACAAACAAACAAAGACCCAGAGATTACGTAACTTGGTAAAGTCCTTTGGGGAACATCTATGGATTCAGTCTCCAGCCAGTGTTAACCTCTGTCATAGACTCTGACACGGAACCTGTGGGACTGCTGATGACAAAAGAAGTTCTGTTTCTACTCTAATGAATGCCTAAACCTTAGAATGAGCTTTGCTTGTGGGGATTGAGAAAATGCATTCATTTGTTATCATCTGTTTTGTACAAAAACATCTATTTCATTTGTATAAATTAGGAACAGAATATTCATAATGAAGTAATTCAGAGCTCATGTTCTAGATGGGGGCCTGGGAGCAGGATCAGTGGGAGGGATGGAGTGGGAGACAGCCCGAGGATAAGAATGCATGGTCAGATCTGCGTTTAGAATGATGTCCCTGGAGGGGCCTGTTTGGGAGAGGACAGGAGAGAAGGAGGTTGAAGGCTAGGAAATGGTGGGTTGCGTTGTGAATGAAGGGAAGGGAAATTCCAAGGCGCATTCACCGGGTCGTATGCCCAGCATGTGCACCTGTGTGCGGGTAACTGGAGAGAGGGGCTGGTTTCCCAGGGCAAAGGATGAGGCTTCATTGAAGGCAGGTCAGAACTCCTGCAGCCTTCTCTCTTAGCACATCCCCAAAGTGCTGTGTGTGCTGTGGGTGGTACCCAAGATGGTTTTCCATGGTACCCTGATGAACCCTTAAGAATTTAACAATTTTGCGTTTATTTTGATGGCTAATGTTTATTTACAGCAGGTGATTTATGTTTCCCCTTTTTATATGGTTATGGTTTCTTTTAGATGCATGTATTTAAGTAACAAAAAGGAGTTTGATTTATAGGAACATAAATTGTATTCTATGCAGCAAAACCCACGAAGCAGTGGCTGACTGGCTGCGATAGGCTGGAAGAGCTGTTCCCCACAGTTCTACGGGACTCCCACCCACCTTCCTGACAGTGTCCTCTTGTGTCTTGCTTGTGTCCGCAGACCCAGTGCACGGCCCGCAGAACGTGGAGATTGTGGACATCCGGGCCCGGCAGCTGACCCTGCAGTGGGAGCCCTTTGGCTACGCGGTGACCCGCTGCCACAGCTACAACCTCACGGTGCAGTACCAGTACGTGTTCAACCAGCAGCAGTACGAGGCTGAGGAGGTCATTCAGACCTCCTCCCACTACACCCTGCGGGGTCTGCGGCCCTTCATGACCATCCGGCTGCGGCTCCTGCTGTCCAACCCCGAGGGCCGGATGGAGAGCGAGGAGCTGGTGGTGCAGACAGAGGAGGACGGTGAGTCAGGGAAGCGCCCTTACTTGGGAGTGAGGGATGTTGGACCTGCTATAGGGCCATGCCCGTCAGTTCTGAGGTGTTTATTACTACTTCTGTAATCTCCCCTCTGCATCTGCTCTTTTCCAAGGTCTTCAGTGCAGACTATGCATTGCACAACTCCAGGGGGCGCTGTTCCCATAGAACTTGACGTTGTACACAGCCCACCTTCATGACAAACTCTTCCTGACTCCCTGGAAATTGTTCCTTGCAACCATTCTCCTTGCAACCCCCGCAGACTGTACTGCTAGGTGCAGCAGTGGGGACTCAGCCTCTGTCACCTTGGCCCCGCCTTCCTGCTTGCAATGAACCTCAACCTTTTGTGGGTCCAGCTCTCCCTGGATCGGCTTCTCTGGGTGATCTGAGTGTTCTGCTTCTGTAAACCTGTTCCCTTCAGCCTCCAACAAGGGCTTCTGTCTGCAGCCAGGAGCTGTGGCCCTGAGCTTGGCCCCCGATAAAGCCTCCAGACCTTTCCCCAGATCTGGCTCCATTGTTTCACAAATGTACAGCCCCTCCCCCAGCAGGTAGAATAATGCCGCATCTGAGAAGGTGGACTCTTGTTAAGCAACACATAGGACACGTTGCTTAACCTCTCGGGGCCTGAGTTTCTGCATCTATAACATGGAGATAAAAATATCTCCAGTGCCTTCTAGGTTGTGCTCATAAAAAGGGATGGTATATAAAGAATTCAAATAATGCCCAGCAGATTGTATGTTTTCAATAAATGCCGCTGTCACATTTGCACTGAATCACAGGGAAAAAATATTTATTGGCAAAGGACCTTCTAGCACAGCAACCCGGAAACCAAACACCTGCCCTAGGAAAGCTCTCCAGAGTTCTAGACAACTACCTCAGCTGGTGTAGAAAAGGTGACCCAGATGCTCAAGGAATGGCAGTGTGGCCAGTGCCTGACCTGAGAAGCAGAGGCAGGGCAAGGATGGATTAGCAACTGTGGCCATAGGTTGCTAGACAGGGAGGAGCCAGTGTTGAAGGAAACCCAGCATGAATATTCAAGACTCAGAAGATGAATGGTAGGGCTTGATCCAGAAGCAGCTCAGGGTGTTTGGTTTTTGTCCAGATGCTCTGCCCACCTTGGGCTGCTTTTGGAGGGCTACCTACATATGCAGCAGCAATTCCCAAGTCCCATCTTTAAGCCCTGCTCCAACCTCTCCTTTTCTCCTCCTTGTCACCCGGGAAAAAAATTCACAAAGCCTTTATCAAAACAACGTGAGTACAGCAGTGCTTTGAAATTAAATTTTAATTAAGTAGCATTAATAAAACATTAATTCCTACTCTGCAGAGATGTGTGGACATCGTCATATTAAAAACACCAGCATACGAGATGCCAGTCCTCAGTCTTATTGCTATTCCTGAGGTCCCACCTCGGGAGCCGCTGGGCTGAAGGAAGGTCTCAGAGAGCACAGGACCCTCTATCCACCAGGATTAGGTTCCGTCCCCCTGAAGAGGGGCTCCCGTGGGACTCATTCATCTCAGGACAGGCCGAGGCTGGAGCCGGGCTCCAGTCCATGACCCCCCTCAGGAAGCCAAGGAGCAGCCTCTCGCATTGAGCTGAATGGACGCGTGCTGCTTTTGTCCCTGTGACAAAATTGTCTTCTGGGGAATTGGTGGGTCTGTCATTTCAGCTGAGGGCCTGCAAAGTAATCCACCGCTGGTGAGAGAAGCTCATGGCCGCGGAGCCCTGCTGCTTCATCTTAGAAGCAGCTGTTGATAGGAGACTAAACAGGCTTTTTATTTTTCCCTTTTCCACAAAAATCTCAGCCAAAACCACAGCTCACTTATTTGGTGGTTCCTTCTCCATCTTTCATCAGCCCACAGCCAAGTGTGTTGAAAGACGACAACGATGTTGGTGATGGTCTTTGCGGCTGCCATTTACTGAACCTACCCTGCTCTGGGCTCTCATGGGCATGTTATATACAACGACTCACACGAGGATTTCATTTGAAATGTTTCAAAGCTATAGAAAAATTGAAGTAATCAAACAAAGACCCCTAAATCCTTCGTCTAGATTCAACATTTGTGAACACTTTGCATAAATATGTATGATACGTATGATAGGGAAATCTTTACAAAAATGCATGTGATATTTTTTACTGTTTAAAAGGAAAGGGCAGAAATCATGACACCTGACCTCTGAACTCTTCAGCATAGGTGACCTAAGGATAAGGTCATTCTCCTACATGTCCACAACATCGAAGAGCATCTAAGAAATTTAGCATTAATTTAAAGATAATCAAATAGACAGCTCCAGTAAGTTAAACCTGACTTTATGTGACAAACCAGCATATGAGATATTTTTTGGCAAAAATGCCACCTGGGTTGGGGGTGTGTACTCTCACTGTGCCATGTGTCAGGGGGCCCCTCTACCAGTCACTTAGATAAGATGGGGACCACCAGTCCCGCCACTGTAAATGCACTCCCCCTGCCCCTTGTAAATCAGCTAATCTGTGCAGTGATATTTGAGGTTCTGTGACTGTCCCATTCCTCTAGAACTTTTCAGCCAGTGGTTTTAGCACACCTTCACAATCCTGCCCTGAATCATTTATTGCACTGGTATTTACAAAAGGGTGAGTTTTAAATCTTTCCCTCTACATGTATTAATTAACATTCATATTTATAGAGAGCTCTTCTCTCCTCATCCCCTTCCCCATAGTTAGTATCCTATTGACTCATAGGTCATTTTTTGACCCAATGTATTAAAATCCAGTACTATTTATAATTCTTTTCAGTGCTCAGATGGTCTCATGTATGGGTAGTGGGAGTCCCTTCCAGTTGGCTCCTGGGTCCTTCTGACATGTTCTCTCTAGTCTTCCTTGCTGCTGGCACAAAATATTCTAAACTGTGCTCATAATGTCTGAAGTCAGCCACTTCTCTCAGCCACTTCTCTCAGGATTCCTGGGTGCTTTCAGTGCTACCTTTGCACTAAAATATACAACTTGGGTGTGCTCTGCTCGCCTCTAGTCCCTTCCAGTAGGTAGAGCTGGGGGTATCATTTATCTTTTTAAATCATGAGCTCATACTGACTCAGATCCAGCCCCTCAGGAGTCTTCTGCACTTGCCCTCATTCCACTCATATATCTCCCTTCTCCCACAGTGAGAACCCTGATTCCCAGCACCCACAGAGTTTGTTTTATTTGCTCCATCCTACTATATATGAAATAGTTTCACAATTACAATACCAATCCTTCTAACAAACTAAGTGAGGTTAAAGGTTTTCTTTTCAGTTGTTCTCTCCTTAGGCAGTCAAAACATAGTGCTCAAGGTTCCGTCTTCTCTCTACATGGTTATATTATCAGTTTGATACTCAGGTTTGTTTGTGTCAATTTGGAGGCTTGCTTTCCCTCTCATCCTTTTTATTTAGTGTCATTATTTTTAATATCAAAACTGGCACATGGTTCAGAAGTCAAACTGTATCAAAAGGTGCACTCAGAGTATTGCTGCCAACTCTACCTTTTCCCTACTGTTTCTATCTACACCTGAAAGATCACCATTTTAAAAAATATATATTTTGTATTGATTTCATAGAGGGAGAGAGAGATAGGAACATCAATGATGAGAGAGCATCATTGATCAGCCGCCTCCTGCACACCCCCTACTGAGGATCAAGCCTGTAACCCAGGCATGTGCCCTGACCAGTCATCAAACCATGACCTCCTGGTTCATAGGTGGATGCTCAATCACTGAGCCACACCGGCCGAGCTGAAAGGGAACCATTTTTATTCATTTCGGGAATATCTCTCCTATAGTTTATCTTGCAAAAAAAAGGACAAACGATTTTTCCTTCTCTTATTTTTTATATAAAAGATAGCATAATAGGTGTACTCTACATCTTCTGGTTTTGATTAATTTAATACATCCCGGAAATCACTCCGTGTCGCTTTGTGGACTGTGTCACTCCTTTGTGGGGCCTCGGCATGTGGCTGTGCCATGGTGTATTCAGGCAGGATCCTGTGGACACGTGGATTGTTCCCATCATTTGTTATGACAGATAGAACTGTAGCAAATAGCCTTGTGCACATGTTGCTTGGTATTTGTGGAGATGTATTTTCAGGGGAAATTCTTAAAAGTGGGATCACTGGCACCAAAGGGTAAAGGCATATGCAGTTTGTTAGATGTTGACATACTCTTCTTTAGATGTATCATTCCACACTTTCACCAGTAACACAGATTCATTAAATCTTAGCCCCAAATTGTGAACAAGGAAACAACATTATTTTTCTTATTTTACAATAAAGAAATTTAAGATCCAATATAATTTATAATAATTATAAAACATTTAATTGATTCTGATTAATAATATAGTATATAATATGTTACCATAATTGATATATAAAATGATGAATCACATATACTCCATATCTTATTTCAATTAGTATACTAAATGTACTTTAATTGTAGGGAAGACTTACATATCTCAGGAATGAGCACCTGTATTTGATATGCATTTCCAACAGGCCTAGTCCCCTGGCTTCTCAGGGCACCAGAAGCCAGAATGAGGCTACATGTTGCTAGGGATAGGTGTAGATGTGGGAGCATGGTGCAGCCCCTCAAGTCTGGAGCAGAAAAAAATGAGAAGTATAAAAGGCAGTGACAGCCAGACAATAGGTAATGCAGCTCAGAGTCATTTAAACAGGAAGAAGCTATGCACATGTTAGTATGACCTGAAGGCATCCCTCACTTAGAGCTCAGTACATTTTTGGTGTTTATACAGATGACCTTGAGATATTATAAAGGGTAAGGAGAAATGCAGTTATGGTGTCCATATGCTAACTGTGAGCTAGGCATTTTGCTGATAGGCCTCATTCGTGCAATTGCCAAACGCTGTGATGTAGGTGCTGTCGACACAGACGTGTGGAAGAGAAATCTGAGGCTCAGAGAGTGTCAGGAACCTGCCCACGGTTACCAAGTATCAAATGGAAGGGCCCAGAAATATACCCGCAAATCTT